CCTCTCCCTCTCCCTCTCCCTCTCCCTCTCCCTCTCCCTTGTTTTTTTCTTTTTTTCCTTCTGTTTCTTTCCTTGTGAATGAAGATTTCCAACAGGAACACTGACTGATACACAGCAACAGACATTCTTCCTGAATTACTGCATTGCAAATTTCCTGTCTTTGGGCCTAATTCTGCGTTCTTTACCCCATGAATTGTCAATGAGACATGAATAGGGAAAAGGGGTGGGTGCAGCATGGGCAGGATCAGACCCTCAAACAATGGGAGCATTGTTGCAGAGATACGGAGCAGCCTGCTGAAGAGGTAAACAGTTGAGACATGACAACAAGTGGTCAAGTTTCTCAAGGGCAGAGATTAGGACGAGCAGGAAGGTTAGTGCAGGCCCCGGTGTGAGTGGAAGTCAGAGGACGTGATTGCAGTTCATGGGAACCAACAGTGCAGGATGGGATACATTCAATTCAGTTTCCTCTGCGGGCTTAAAATAGAGCCATTGTAAATTATGTCAGTCTGTCTCAAATCTTGAAAATGATTGTTAAAAAGGCCTCAGAATACACAATGTGTATTGTTGTGTGGCTTTGATGTGTGAAAGATGAGAGCTTATGATATAACGCAAATTAAATAAAAATACAGTAACCACTTGCTTTTTCCTGGCTGGAAAAAAAGAGGGGGGGGGATTTATTACAGAGGGATAATCGCTGCTTACCGTTACTGTTGTTGCCTTGTTTTTAAACAAAGCTAGAGCTGATACCAGTAGAAGCAAGTTAGTCCAGAGGTGCTGACAAATGTTAATGTATTGAAAGGGCACAGCCCATAGCACAGCCTGGGGACCTGCCTGCTGTCCCGGCTGGCCAAGAGGATGGGAAAAGAAGACAGAAAAATAATTAAAATGGTAACCTAAGTTAAATGCAAGAAGGAAAAGAAATGTGTTATGAAGCTGTACTAGAGAACTAAAAAAATCCCACTTGGTTCAGCGACGTGGTTCACTCTCTGTAGATGTGTGCCTTACCCTGTACTGGTGATGGAGATGCTTTCAGCCTCTTGCTACTAAAGCTGCTGTCTGGAAGCTATGCTGTGGCACAGTGAGTGTTGCAGTTTAGCTCAGGCCTCCCCTCCAGGCCTTCAGGCTTTCTCCAAGTGCTTCGAGGCTGAAGTTGCTCTCATCCCAGAGGAGTTTGAAAGGAAATCCATTGAGCTGTTCCAAGTATTGGACGTGCAAATAAATACAGTTGCAATTTTAAAGGAAAATGTTGTTGAAATAGAGTGTATTTTTTCATGTGCAAAAGAGAAATATGCAAAATTAAGACTAGCAAAGTTGTTAAGACATGGAATTCATAGTTATGGCTTCCAAGGCGCTGTGTGCGTTGCATGTATAGAAATGCTTTGGGCATGTGAGAGTACCAGACTGTGGTTACTCTAGAAGTTATAGCCTAGACTTTCATGAGTTTAACGTCATTAATTGTAAATGGAAAATGATGCTTGTTGATAATGGTATGCACTTGGAAATATCTGATTGTCTTCTCCTTCACCTCTGTCATATCTTTGGGTATTGCAGGCCAAAGGCTCTGACAGGCAGATCTGTCTGTCACATTCCTGGTCTTGCAAATGTTTATGACTAACTTCTCATTTGTGCGTAGTGACACTGATGGATATCATTTGGAGGCACAAGTGCTCACTCAGGGGCACCGTGACTGTACAGTGTCAAAGCACTGAGCCACAGCTCTTGGCAGGGCTTTGGGTGCTCATGCAATGCAAAATAATGGTATCAGATGTGCAAAACTGCAATGAAAGGAGCAAACGAGGAACAAAAATGGTATCTTTTAGTCACTACATACCTTTTCTGGTTTGCTGGAGGATTCTTTGGTGCTGTCTTTAGACATTTGTCTCCTTTGATGCCTTGCTTTGGAATAGTACAATATCGTTTGTGCACACAGACTTCTTATGGCTTCCTGAGAGATACTTGGAGGGTGAAAAAAATGGTTTTATTTGCAGAATTTGGAGGGTGGGGGCAATTATCATAAAGCCTGAGATTTGTTGTTGTTGTTGTTTACATACAGGTGAGGTCTGCCATAAATCCTATACTCAGTTTTCAAACCTTTGTCGTCATAAGCGCATGCATGCTGATTGCAGAACCCAAATCAAGTGCAAAGACTGTGGACAAATGTTCAGCACTACGTCTTCCTTAAATAAACACAGGAGATTTTGTGAGGGCAAGAACCATTTTGCAGCAGGAGGATTTTTTGGCCAAGGCATTTCACTTCCTGGAACCCCAGCTATGGATAAAACGTCCATGGTTAATATGAATCATGCAAATCCGGGCCTTGCTGACTATTTTGGAGCCAATAGGCATCCTGCTGGTCTTACCTTTCCAACAGCTCCTGGATTTTCTTTTAGCTTCCCTGGTCTGTTTCCTTCAGGCTTGTACCACAGGCCACCTTTGCTACCTACTAGCTCTCCTGTTAAAGGACTACCAAGCGCAGATCAGACAAACAAAAGTCAAAGTCCCCTCATGACCAACCCTCAGATACTGCCAGCCACCCAGGATATTTTGAAGGCACTAAATAAGCAACCATCTGTAGGGGAAAATAAGCCAGTGGAGCTTCAACCAGAGAGGTCCTCTGAAGAGAGGCCGCATGAGAAACTCAGTGACCAGTCAGAGAGTAGTGACCTTGACGATGTCAGTACCCCCAGTGGCAGTGACCTGGAAACCACCTCTGGCTCTGATCTGGAAAGTGACATTGAAAGTGAGAAAGAGAAATTTAAAGAAAATGGTAAAATGTTCAAAGACAAAGTAAGCTCTCTGCAGAGTTTGGCTTCAATAAATAATAAGAAAGAACACAGCAATCATTCCATTTTCTCACCATCTTTAGAGGAGCAGACTGCGGTGTCAGGAGCGGTGAATGATTCTATAAAGGCTATTGCTTCTATTGCTGAAAAATACTTTGGTTCAACAGGACTTGTGGGGCTGCAAGACAAAAAAGTTGGAGCCTTACCTTACCCTTCCATGTTTCCCCTCCCATTTTTTCCAGCATTCTCTCAATCAATGTATCCATTTCCTGATAGAGACTTGAGACCGTTACCCTTGAAAGTGGAGCCCCAATCACCCAGTGAACTCAAGAAGATCCCAAAGGGAAGCTCTGAGTCTCCCTTTGACCTCACCACTAAGCGTAAGGAGGAGAAGCCAGTTACTCCCATACCCTCAAAGCCAGCAGCTCCTCCTGCAGCAAGCCAGGACCAGCCTCTAGATCTGAGCATGGGCAGTAGAAGTCGAGCCAGCGGCACAAAACAGGCCGAGCCCCGGAAAAACCACGTCTTTGGTGAGAAGAAAGGAGGTGACCTCGAGCAGAGGAAAACGTCAGAGGCCTCTTTGCAGCACGCCCGACCGACTCCCTTCTTTATGGATCCCATTTACAGGTAACTGACCGTGTGCTGCGTCCTGGCACCCTTTGGCACAGCAGTGAGGTCTACCAGGCTGACCTGCACCGCCCGGCTCCAGTAACGCCGTAATTAGCAAGTCTTCATTACTGCCTTGCTTTCAGTGGGTTACCAGTTAAACCTGTGCAGCGTGGTGTGCAGTAGTGTAGCCTCTTAGCCAAAAATGAATTGGCGTCATTGATTTGTATTTACTGTTTATTTGGCAATACCAGTTGGCCACAAATTGCTTCTTGCCAAGTGGCTTTACTGCTCTCTGCATCTTCCTTCCCCGGAGATTAGAGGGCGTCTCGAAAGTTGCCATTGCACACCACCTCTTTGTTCTTCCTAAATTAAACAGCAGTATCTCAAATAAGCAGATTTGTCCCAGGATGTATAAAACTGTGGAAATTGAGAGTGATTTCTGCCCTTTATAACACTGATTTGAGTAACGGGTGGATTTATCTAGGCATTGCATTAGTATAATTGGAGGCACAATGGCCTTGTGTGTACAAAGCCTAACCAGTGGGTTGGTTAATCTGATCTACCTTATTAAATCAATGGGAGCCTTTGTGTTGGCTTCGACGGGCACAGAAGCAGACGCTGTTTGTCAAGTGAGGTTTTAAAAATGAGTTGTAAAATCCTGACCCCTCGGTGTCTTCCAGTAGTGCTGACACCGAAGCCACTGGGAGCTGGATTTCACCTACATCCCGTGTGCGTCAGCCCCTGGTTGCCCTTTGCCTTTCTGCTTGCATATCTGCAGTCAGCTGAAGTCATGCATCTAAATTAGTCCAAGGAAATATTAGCCAAAAAAATAAAATGTTTATTACCTAAGTGACTGATTTTACAGCCTACTGTTAAAAAAAAAAAAAAGTTAGGGCTGTGAAAATGATTTTAATTTATTATTGCTTTATCTAAGAAAGAAGTGCTGTAGGCAGAGTTTTTGCAGAATGCTGTTACAGAAGACAACAGGCATTCATTTTGAAGAAATGTAACGTGATGCTGTTTATTGAGATGATCTTGCTTATGCCTGTTTGATATCTGTATTGGACCATAGTTTCTCTTTGTGTCTTTAAATACTTGAAGCAGTGAAAATGAGTCGTGTTTCATGGTCCTGTGCTACGAACTAACAAGAGCCATAGAAATTCTGGCAACATAGCATGAGGTTGTTAGAGAGCCTTCCTTTGCTGTGAGTTACATCTGCATTAGGACAGCAGGATCACTGGTCACAGCAAGGTCTTGCACGGGCAGCACCTCAGCTCAGAGCTCCTGCTGCCTTCAGTTCTACTCTCCCAACAGAAGAACACGCTTGGTTGCCTTATTTCTTCATGAAAGTCCATAGTAATTAGTCATTGGTTCTTACTGTCATAATTACTGGCATTTTGAAGTGGAATTACTTCCTCTGTAAATGGCACCATTGCCTTTAATAGCAATTCACAGCCCCCACCATAGCAGTGGGCTGTGTGCAGGAACTGAGAGCTGACGTACTGTCCTTTTTGGCCATTACCTCTGAGAAACAAATTGCCTGATATGTAACTGGACGTTTTAAACATGAGTAGCTGTGTAATTATTAATGTCTGAGACTGATTCATCATAAGAAAATCTAATTTTAACATTTACAGAGTAGAGAAAAGAAAGCTAACTGACCCGCTCGAAGCTTTAAAAGAGAAATACTTGAGACCTTCTCCGGGATTCTTGTTTCATCCACAAGTAAGTATTTTGGGAATTTCGATGTTGTAAACAAGCCTGTTGATGCTTCAAAGCAGGTGCAGATAAATGAATGCAGCCTTAGTCATTTTTGGATTTCCTAAAGCACAAAGTTTTTGCTTCACCATTGTGGTGGAAAAGCGTAAGCATTGTTCTGGGCTTCTTGATGTTTTGCAGATGAAACAACATGTTTTGATTAGAGAGGAAGCCAGATTCAAACTACATGCATGTTTGAGAACTGCGTTCTTCCAAAACCAGAACATAACCACTAAGACTTGCAGCTGCCCTGTCTTCTTCAGGGCCGTTGTGGTGGAGTCCATATTACCTGCAGGGAGATGATGTAGGTTCAAAGCTGGGCAAGCAAAGCTGAGCCTTCCAGCTATTTGCCTGCTCTTGTAAGATCCGTTGCTTTTGTCAGTATTGAAGGAATCTAAGAAAGGAGACAACACCTTCTACCCAATGCATTCGGGCCTCCTAATGCAAACACTCCATCTCTTTTAGGCAGTAGTCACTTGCAGTGATCTTGTAGGATCCCTTCTCTTTCATGCCCAAAGCCATGCTATACTAGAGCTGCTGTCTCATTCGTAGGCCTTAATCATACTTTTTATTTGCTGAATAACAATAATTTGTAAGTCTTTTTTTTTTTTTCCTTCAATGACAACAATAGTTGTAATGTTAAGTTCTGTGGAATGTATTCTGAAATATGGGACTTAAGGAGACCTGGGAAGGACAGCTGATGAGCTGATGGCATGTGTAGTTGCAGGTATGCAGTCATAACACTCTTCCATGAGGGGAAAGTGCAGCAAAACAGCCCTTTTCAGTTCCAGTGCCTGTGGGAAGTGAAGGGTCTATTAAGTATTAAAATTGTGGAGAATTTATGTACAGGATTTAATAGCAGCTCAGCACCTCCTGCTGAGTTATGTTTTTTTGTCAGGGTTGCAAAGCGATCAGTGAAAATTCCCGTTTTGTAGCAGACAGGACTAATGCACCAGTGCCCAAATGAGGCCTGAATCCTCCTTGTGTCCCCTGGTGTAAAACTGAGCTGATTCCTCTTCATCAAGTGAGTGATCCTGTTAGAGCAGATAAATGGTTGTAAATGAATGGTGAATTATTTAAATGAAGATATTTAAAGTGGAAGAAATGATACAATTTTGACGAGTCCCTTGATGGATCTTCAGGTGTGCATCTGTGTTGTTTAATTAAATTGGGTTTGAGGGACTTTGTGAGTTTTAGCACATGATGGTGTGATGATGCCAGTGGTTGGTGGTGTGGAAGGAGGCTGCTTGTGCCAAATTGCCTTGCTAGGAGGGTATTTGGGGGTGAGAAGGAGTTGGGTACTGCCTTATGAAGCCAAGGAGACCTGGAGGAAGGTCAGTAGAGGATGCTGGGAGAGGTTAACGTGGTGAAATGGAAACAGCAGTGAGTGCTCTACTATCAGTGAGCAGGACCTGCCCCACTGTGCTGATGCATGAGGACAGTGCCAGTGCAAACAGCATGTCAGGTGTCAGGGGCCAGTTCTGTGCCATGAGGCCAGCAGGGATGGCTCCCACTGCTGAATGCCACCCCAGGGTTCTCCTGTTGTGTGCACAGATGGCTGCCTTGCACCTCTTGGCCCATCCCTCCACACTTCTCATTTGCAATAGAAAATAATTCCATGGTAAACTATTGGCTTTTGTGTTACCAGTTACCTGTCTGTTAGGGTAACCTCGTGGGAGATAGGTGGATGGAAAAGTCCTGAGCGTAATGTGCGCTCTAAATTCATTGTAAAAGAAAAATAAATCACCATCACGTGTCATGTCAAAAAAGCAAATGTCCAAATCTGCTTTCTTGCTGACTTTAATAAAAAGGAGCCTCTTGTTTGCAAAAGCAGAGCTTGGCTCGGTGTTTATAGAGGGCTGGGGAATGCCTTGCAGAAAACTGCTTTTGTTTAACAGCCCCATTCACCCCTGTAAAGTACAGGTGTGGACTGCCCCGTAACTTTCCATTTTCTGCTGGCAGGTTCTGTCTCTGTAAGATAGGAACAAAATATTTTTTATCATTCCTGTCCTACAAACGTGTATTTCTGTAGGTTGTTTCTGAAACAGTTTGATTGAACTGAGTCTAACCAAAAGCTTGACTTCCTTCTTTAAACTGGATAATAGGAGCAGTAACAGACTAATCATTAAAATAGGCTTTGGAGTAGAGATGAAGGTCATAAACTGTGCTGTCCTTACCCTGCTTTTGCCTGGGCAGAACCCTTCCAGTGCCAGTGACCCCAAAGCTGCAAGAGATTGAGGCAGATAATTGTGTGTTCACAATAATTTACTGTAACAAGGATTGCCTTTTTAGGGAGAGAATGCCCCAGTGTAACAGATCATTCAGGATAATGTCTTAATTAGTATCTTTAAATGCGATCTTAATTAGTAGTTTGATTGCAATGAGGATTCCAGCGCAGGAATAATGTGTTGTTTTTGTTTCAATTTTGCTCCCAGTTCCAATTGCCTGATCAAAGAATTTGGGTAAGTTCATGCTTATATTTTTGATTTAATCGCTGTGAAATAAATTGCATAAGAAAAATATAATATGAAGGATAACTTCCCACACAATTACAGAGCACGCCACGCTTTCCCACAGAGCGCTGTAGCGGGTAAATGCCGTGTGATGTCCAATTGGCTTTATTTTCACTGATCTAATCCTGCAGCTTTTATTTGGTGATGGCAATGGGAGCTTTACCTAAGCGAGGGTTTCAGAATGCGCTCTTTGTTTGTACCGAACTGAAAATGTTCCAAGTTGTTTTCCTTCAGAGATTGTAGTGACAATTTTCAGGCTGAAATATTGTTAGCTTGCAAGAATTAGAAATATTTAATCTATGTTCTAGAACATTAAAACACAGAGCCTCGGAGGACTTCGCACTTGTTATTGACTTCAGAGGGAGTCAGTCACTTTAATAGCTTCGAAGTTTGGAGTTTAATTGCTATATTTAAAGCCCGAATAAAACACCCACTTATTTGCAGTGCTGGGATCAAACTTGTCCTGTGTGTATAGTTACAGTCCCCCCTCGTGTGAACAGAAATTCTGCTTTTAGTATCTGGGATGCATTCAAGCAGGCTCATCTATTTTTATAAAACTTATTTTTAATACATCTAAATTGCTCTTGAAAAAAAAAAAAACAAAAAAAGAGCCACAGCAACTGCTTTTACAGATGCAAGTGGAATAGCACCGAGATTTGCTCCTCTTATCGCTGAACCCATCAATACTTGCCCCAGATTTTTTCCACCCTCACGGCTGTGGGTCTCAGAGGGAAGACTTGGGGCTGACTCATGCTTGCTCATGGCTTGCAGTGGGATGTGGGCTGGTTGCACGAGCTGAAGCCAGGATTTCCCAGACAGAGATGGCAATGTGCTCCTGCCTGCATGCATGAGGCCCCAGGGATGTCTGCACACTGCTCTCCTCCACGGCAGCCATGGGGCTTTGCTTTGTGCACATGTGGCTTTGGATGCCCGTTTTGTCTCCTTGAAATGCTGGTGTCTAAGATCCTGAGGACAGATCCTGAATGAACTCAGTCACAGAGAGGTGACTGGAGCTGTGGGAATGTCTGTACCCAAAACCCCGTTGCAGCGATGCTGGCCTTAGTGAAAACCAGTAGAAGAACCAAAGGGAAAGCTGCAGAGATTTCCGTCATTAGTCCTATGCAAGCAGATGACAAGCCCCTAGGATGTAGGATCAGGTGCCAGGCTTGGAGGAGTTCCCAAGCATCTTCTTTGCAGCAGTTCAGAGCGGCCATATCCAGAGCCCATGGAGGGACGTGATTTGGTCTGTGCGCCCTGCATCTCAGAGATGCTCTGTTTGGGGATATTTGGGGAGCTGAAAACCCCAGCGCAGCCTGTTTCTTCGGTCTCCTTTCTTTGGCATTGGCTTGGTCTTTGGATTTCCTTTGTTCTGTTGTTGTTGTGTGAGCGTGAATCTCCAGGCCATGCTAGTGCTTGAGCAGCTGCAGCAGCAATAGGTATGTAAGGCATAAAATGCCTTGCACGGGATGCTGATTCATGGGTGAATCTTCATCTTGAGAAATCTGAACGTCACATGTGCCTTTCTGTCTCAATTCACAGTTGCCTGTGCCGCATATTTCAAGATTGTTTCACATTGTTTCTCATTGTTTGGCAGGAATGCTGTAGTCTGACTCAATGGGGAGCATCCTCTCTTGAGCGGACCATAATTTATTTAGTCTGTGAACTTTTTCATTCCCTACTGGTCCCATCAAGAGAAAGTTGCTATAAAGAGATTGTCTAATGAGATTCAAATTTCATTTGCAATCCCCTTGTGGAGCATAATCATTAAGTAATTAAATTAATTTGAAAATAAATGATAAGAACTTTAATGAGTACATTAACGAAGCTTTTATTTTACGGGGTGTATTTTAAGACATGATCCATTCTGTTAGATTTAGATAAACGCTCACCAACAGCATTAACCCAAGTAGAGATTTTGTGGGTCTGAGCTGGAGGTCAGCTGAAGTTTTTTACAGCATGTGTGAGTTCAGCTGTGTGTGCAAGGCCTTTGGGCATGGTACAGCTCAGCCAAGTGGCTGGATGGCCAGATACATTACAAGCAATTCACAAGTTGTAATTTTTAGAGAAAGCAGCATGACTTGAACCGGGGAGGAAGAAATTCTGAACTTCGGTAGTTGGGTCTTCAGGATTTCTCTAAATAACAGTAGTAAAAATAGAAAGCAAACGTTTGAACCATTTTTTTCCCATGAGTTGTGACCATAAAGTCAGTTGTTTTTATGATAATAGCATCGAAGGAGTCTCGTTAGTAAAACATTAGGTCATGTAATTGATGACATTGTCTGCTAGATTATTTCATATCATCAGGTTATTCTTAAAAAGTAGCAACAACAAACCTTGCTTTATTTATGCCACTTTCTCTGTGGTTGGTTAATAAATTTTAAGACAAATATTCAGGACCCCTGCTGATGGTATCTTGCCTGTTGAAATGTTTATAAATACTTGTTTTAGCCGATTATGGTAATGTCTGCATTTCTGAGTCCGAGCTGGGGAATTGTGACTACATATTAGTTTGCGTCAGTAGGAGGTTAATGGGCTCTCAGGGAGCAGGAGGGAGGTGGGGGGAAGCTGCTTCCTTTTCCAGACATCTGGACGTAGATTGAATCAACAACTCCTATATGTAAATCAAAAGTTACTGCTCCCTATAAAACGCTGTCAGTCACCAATCTCAGATTAGGAGCAGACATGACTTGTCCGTAAGGCCGTAACTGCAGTGTGAAATATGTAACGGGACCTCCTTGCTCTCCTGCCTCCTCAGAGGGCTTTCTCCATGGATGTGGCAATTCATTGATCCCCTCCTTGGGGTCATGCCTTCCTCCCTGTGCCCAGTACGGGATGGTTGCAGCCCTGGGTGCCTGCTGGGGCTCAGATCCCCAAAAGTTTCCATGCTTGGTGGTGTTCAAGCACCATCCCTGGAGCAAAGCACCCTGCTGAGACTTGATGCTGTAGCAGTTTCCACCAGGAGCTCGGGGTTTTGGAGGAGTAAAGGCTGCTTGGGTTGTGTTTCAGCTGAAGGAAGGGTTCTCCCTGATTGCTCCTAAAGAAGCTCTGCAGAACAGGGAAAGTCTTCTGGATTAATAATTATCTAAACAAACAAACAAAAACCAAACACGCCACCAACAGGAAAAGAAAGGTAAGAATACATCAGCAGTTTTTGCAGCAGTTGGATTGTATCACCAGCTTCACCCAGGGGTGTCAATGGGATGTGAAGGATTAAATCTGTTTGTAAACAGCACGGGAAAGGGAGCAAACAGGCTAAGAGCAGAGAGCCAACAGTTTATTGAGAACAGCTAAACGCAAAGCTAACTGCAGGAGTTCCACCAAAAGCTGAGTCACCAGGGATTAAAATAGCAGAGAAACTCCATGTTAGTAAGTACCTAGTTACACAGAGGGGAAGGTATAACTCTTAGCTCAGGTCATTCAGGAAAAGCATCTTGAAGTCAATCTGAGCGCTTAACAGAAATGAACTGAAAATGTCATTATGTTATATTGTTTTCAGGTCTTGAATACAGCTGAAACCCCTCTCAAAAAAGGCAGAGTAGAATTAGAAAAGACGCAGAAAAGTGTAACAGTGATGATCAGAGGTAGGGAACAGCTTCCCCACAAAAAGAGCCTTAAGTAGATCTTGATTTTTGAGCTTGGAAAAAAAATGCCTGAGAGAGCTGTGCCACAACTTTGTAACATGGTGACTGGTGAGCAGGACCTGAGTGAGAAATGGTTATTCATTAGTTTTTACAATACAGAAAAAATGAGGGACACCCAGTTGAATTATCAGGCAAAAGGATTTTGTTCAAAGGAACAAAAGCCAGTGTATTTCATATGCACCTAATTGTGCTGGTGGACTCCTTGACAAAAATGCAAATGGATTCAAAGTGGGTTTAGAGAGATGAATGGGAGCTAAAGCCATCACCTCCCAGTGCAGTAATCGAGATGCAACCACTAATTAAAGCTCTTACACATCTCATTTCTGGCACGTGACAGACAGTGGGCAGAAGGTCTGGTCCTTGGAGGACCATTTGTGTATCCCTGGGGCCACTGCTTAAAACCATGGCACTGGTTCCCCAGAAGTGTATGTCAGAGTGTTCATAATTCCTGCTTGGTCTTACTACTTCTGTCCTAAGCACCACAAATGCTGGATTTCACATCACTCTGTTCAGATTTTGCAAATGGATTGATGAGTGGTGGATGTTAACTGAAATTTAAGTAGGTGAGACCCCGTTGTTGGGCAGGGATGACAGGTTTTGTATGGGCTGTAACATACCCGTGCTGCACGTGTGTGTATCATCCCCATGGCAGTTTCTGTGCCAGGTGCTGTGCAGCACTGGGGGCATCCCAAATATGCTAGGGAGAGAGGAGCAGAGGGCAAGAGCTGAGAAGCAGCTGAGATGTGACAGAGAAGAGCATCCTGAAGGTTGCAAACCCTTCAGTGGTTTGCAGCTCGCTTCCCTATATCTGCATTGTTGATGCCTTCCAAACTTTTGTGTAGGATTTCCTTTTCCTACTGCTGATGTCAGCTTTTAGCCTTGGGTTTTTTAGCCAAGTTTTCTGCAGAGGAGCATCAGCTTCTGCATGGAGCTGGTGACCTTCATGGTGGTGCGCAGTCTGGGCAGGAAGGCTAACAGGGAGCAAACTCATCTCTCGTCTTCATCCTGCTTTAATCAGAGCTGGCTTGTGTGATGTTGCAACCTCTGCAAGTGCATTTTTGGAAAAAGAATTTACTGCCCCTGTTATTCTTAAGAAAATGCTCCAATATTGTGAGCCCCATCTCTATCAGATAGACACTGCTGTAATCGTACCGACAGCAGCAGAGTGACACTGATTCATATCAGGAAAGACTTTGGGCTGAGCATTTCCCTTTGTTGTATTTCTTGAAACACATAAATCATACCAGGTAACTACAGGGATCAGTCTTTAAAAAACACAATAGTCATTCCTGTGGTGAGAAACATATTTTAGGAAATCTCGTAATGCTTTATAGTAATTGGAAGTGCTTGTATTTCCTCTGAATGAGGGATTTAAGATTAGATCCTCATTTCATACCTGTCTCAGGACTGATGTAGTCCTGGTGGCAGAGAAGGGTTGGTACTGACCTACAGCACTGTACATGAGAGAAGATTCATTCTCCATTTCTCCTCTGCAAAATCCCAAAGATAATAAAAAGAAATAAGCATGACTAAGCCATTTTAAATGGAAAGGGGAAAATAGTTGCTTTAATATATTACTGAAGGAAACCACGTACGTGAGAAATGATGATCCAAAAATGATTTAAAACCACTAGATAATGAAACTGACTTGAATATTAAATATACATAAATAAAACATTTATTATACTTCTCGATGCCCTTATTATTCTTCACTATAAATATGTGCTATCATAACCCATACACTGTCTTGTCACTGCTAATCAGCCTGAAGGCCAAAGGTCATTTTTCATTCAAACCATTAATTTTCCACAATTGCAAAACTGATAAATGATTTCTTGCAGGGAACAATTAGAAGGAGTTACAGGCAGCAGAAGAACTACTATAAAAGGTTTAAGAATCAATTCTTACTGCAGAAAAATATGAAGTCCTGTAAAAATAAATGTATGGTAATGTTGAGTCATATGGGTTGATAATGACATCTCTCTGCCGAGATAGAATTACCTCCTCTCCCAGCAGCATCATCATTACATATCTCATGCCTGTGATCAGTACATGTCAAAATCCTTCATATTGACAAATGTGCTGTCCACTTGCATCTGTGGAGAATGTTTTAGCAGCTGAGTGATTATGAATCAAACCTCAGAGCTTACAGCCCCTACTGCCTCGCAATGCTTTCCCATTTGTTGCCTGACAAGTAAATGTATCTTGACTTCCCTCTGAGATTTTCTTTTTTTTTTTTTCTTTCTTTTTTTTTTTTTGCAGCGTGTTTGATGAAAGACATTTGGCAAATTGGCAGTGGTACTCTGTACATTGCAATTTGTACTCAGCATTAGGAGCCTGAGCATGAAATGAGAGGGCAGGCTGTGGGCTAAAGGGAAAAAAAAAAGACCAAAGCCAGAGCTAGCCAGCACCTGCAGAGCCCTGTCTGGAGACAAATGTGCAGTTCTTCCCATTAAAATAACAGCAAAGGGAATCAGAGTAGTCCTTGTGGATTCTGAAGAATGTGCTGCAGAGGTGTTCTGATAGATAGCACTTGATTAATGCTGTGGTTTATGATGAAGCAATTTGCATGCTTGTGGCATGGGATCTCCGGTGCGCCCACCTTCTTCAAGTGCAGTTCTTGCATTTCTATTGTTTGTTTATTTTTTTCCATTTGTTTATGGTGACAGTAGGAGGCAGGCAGCTATTTTACCTGTCAGGAGGCTCAGCAGCAATCTTCAGCTCTTTATGTGACAATGTTGGAAGTTTTGGAGCCATTTCTTGTGGTCATTTCCAGACACTTTGAAGGGAAACAATCTTCAGAAATTATTTAATACCCTCTCTCTGAAAATTAAAGCCCTTTCATACAGCTACAGGAAGAGGCAGCATCCCAAAGTGCATAGGGTTTACAAGCAACTGAAGGTAGAGTAGAAATATTAAGAGGTTGTAAGAAAACCTGACAGGCATCTAGTGGGTAATGTGAATGAATAAATAGCACCAAACCCACCAGAGCTTCATTTCTGATGGATTTATGTCATGACGTTTGACTCTGATCTGCAAGATTTGACTGAACGCTTGGATGTGGCTGGGACAACGATGGAGCTTCTCGGCTTGTTGCATCTGCTAGTTTAGCTGGAGTGCTTTGTGTCCTTTGAGGTACTTGTCCTCTGAAAGTCCATAATTAAAAAAAAAAAAGTAGGAATTCATCTCTTACCGAATTCTCTATTTTTTCTATTGATTTGGTCTAAAAGAGGCCAATGGTTTCAGTAGATGGGCTGCACACTCATACGCGCCCACAGAGTACGGCTGCACAGCTCTGTTTCTGTAGCTGTTGAGGCTTAAAAATAACATGAAATGGCTGATTTAGACTTTGTATGGAAGCAGCTTTACTTGTAGCCATTAGAGCAGTTCTGCTGTGTACTGGTCTTGCAGTGGATCAGACCCATTGCAGCAGTTATGGGGGTTACTCTGAGAGGGCCATCATCATGGCCACCTCATTGCATACTCTGCCCAGTAGTTTTTGTGACTGCAGCTCTACATTTGCTATTTTGTATGTCTTCTGGGAAGTCTGTGTCCTTTATGCTTAGCACTTTGACCACAGACACAAACCCACAGCGGTACTGACCGTGCCGACTGTTGTGCCATCTTCCATTGCAGATGTCAGCTATAGAAAACATGGCCGAAAAGCTGGAGAGTTTCAGTGCCTTGAAGCCAGAGGCCAATGAGATGATCCAGTCAATGCCATCCATGTTCAACTTCCGAGCCCCTCCAAGTGCTCTGCCTGAGACCCTCCTGCGCAAGGGCAAGGAGCGCTACACCTGCAGGTAACAACACAAACCTACTCCATAAACAACTCCTTGTCTAGATTGCCTCATCACTTTCATATTCACGAGTGTGTTTTTGTTATTGATTGATGTATTTTTTTTAATTGTAAACTACAGAATTGTTCTTCTCATGTTTTCCTCCCTTTGGCATCCAAAGGAATCAGTGATAAAACAGATGACTTATTAGGACATAAAATGAAGATGACTGTACATAGAACCAACATGAATAGGAGCTTTGTCAAGGAGAGCAGAATTAGCTGTCTTGAGGGCTTGCACGTCATGTAAAAAAAATAAATGCAGTCTTAAAAACTAAGGGATGCAATGTTCAAAGCCAACACGTTAAGCAGCCACCAGCCTCATTCTACTGAGAGCTGTGTGTGCTCTGTCCCCATACAAAAATGAGCTGAATGTGATTAATAGAACTGGAACAATTATAAACTGAATAGTAATACGCTTCTTAAATGAGCAGGAAGGGCTCACGATATCTGTATATAGGTAGATAATATCTGTATCTATCAGGATGTATCCACATTATATATTTTACATTATATAGTATGTATTTCATGTATCACATATATTTATGCATGTTGTATATATAAAATCATTATTATTCCTGTGCCATATTATAGAGTTTGGAGATTTTTTAAATGTAGATCTCTGTGTCATCTCCAGAATGCACAGGTATTTGACATTGGCACATTGGTTTATCTGATCTTTCTGAAAACATGTAACCTTCTTTCAAGACGTGTTGTTATAGAAATATACCTTGATGGATTAAATCTTTGAGTCTTGTCAGGTCTGATCCAATTCAGTGCACAAGATGATGTCACGTTTGCTGACACGTAGAATTGGCTGAAAGGTTTGAAATTTGCTTACATTGAAGTTGAAATCCAAGACTATAATAGCAGATCCTCATGATTCCAAATCTGAATGTGACAGATAAGCACTTAGTGAGATTAGAGATTTTGTGCAATCTCTGAAACTAGTATGTTTCCATGTGCCATTTGCTTATGCAGAAAAAAAGCTGGTTGGTGCCAGCAATTCCAGTTCCATTCCTACGTGTGTGTATGTCTCAATCACTTATATTTATTTGATGCTTTTATTGAGGTGTCATTACACTAAAGCAGTGCCAATAGTACCACGTAGCTGTGATTCCATTAGGGCTGTGCCTGTAGCACGTCTCAGACTGGAACAAAGCCAGCATTGCTTGCATTGCCTTACGGAACCTCTTCTCACCACAGATACTGTGGCAAGATTTTCCCCAGATCTGCAAACCTAACCCGTCACCTGAGGACGCACACTGGAGAGCAGCCCTACAGGTACCACAGCCAGTTACACACATTGGTGGTTGTGCATTTTATGTGAATAAAGCAAGGGGACACGTGTGCAAGAGTGGATATTAATGGTGGCTTTGTCACTGACCTCAGTGAATTTGGGGGGTGAGACACATTGCCATTGGAAAAGACATGTCCTCATGGCTAAGCAAAGCTGTTCCCACGTGGTTGCTGTCGTGTCAAGGTGTGTGCATGATGCTGGAGAGGCGCTTCAGCATCACTCACCTGTCTGCTCAGCTGTGGCACCTTGTGCATGAGCCTGAACCCTTTCGATTATCTAGATAATCCCCACTGATATCAGCAGGCACATTTTGCTGCCCAAACCCTCATTGCTACCCACCATTGCCATTTTGATTTTGTATCTAAAAATAGGCAGTCCTTGGTAAGCAGGGTTGCCTGTGATCAGGCAGATCACTGCTAGGAGAGCTGGGGTGGACTTTTTGACTTGATGTTGGAAGTGGGCTGCCTCGTGCCAGCGGAACGTTTCTCCCCAGTTAACTCACCAGGAAATTTCTATTCTTTGTGGGAATGTATCTTTGTTTCTCAGAACCTTTTGAGGATGGCAAACATGAAAACTTGCCTTTGTTTAAAAAAGGGCTTTTTAGAATCATAGAATCACCAAGGTTGGAAAAGACCTAAAAGATCATCCAGTCCAACCGTTCACCTATTCCCAATAGCTCCCACTAAATCATGTCCCTCAACACAACATCCAGTCTTTCCTTGAACACCCCCAGGGTCGGTGATTCCACCACCTCCCTGGGCATCCATTCCAGTGCCTGACCACCCTTTCTGAAAAGTAATACTTCCTCATGTCCAGCCTGAATCTCCCCTGCCGTAGCTTGAAACCATTCCCTCTGGTCCTATCACTAATGACACGAGAGAAGAGGCCGACCCCCAGCTCACTTTTTGTACTCCTCTGGGCAAGGGTGGCTGCATGCAGTGCTGCTGTTCTGTATTTACACTGCAGAGATGGCGGGAGGTTTTGGTCATAGCCTGTGGAATTCTTTTGGCATAAGCAGCCACCCAGGCACCATTTGCAGTCCTGTCTTTGCCATGTGGGATGGATGGCACTTTGAAGTGAGTAGGGCGAAGTGATTTTCAAGAGGGTTCACAGCCATGTTTTGCCTTACAAAAACCAAGTGGGCTTTTGTTGTTGTTTGTGTTTGTTTGTTTGTTTTGGTAAGAACTCTGTGGTGTTGTTTTAAGCCTAAAGTTGGGTGTTTTGTCAATCATCTGATTTCTGAAAGATCCCAGTTGCAAAAACATGACTGCATTTATATCTGGATGCTTTCTGAGGTCTGAGTAACCAAAACCCATGTGGGTGTACTCTCTTGTTGATAAGGATACGTATGTGATATTTTATCCAGGACAGTTACACACAGAAATGCATATGGAAGCTTTGCCTTATTGAAAATGAAAGATTAATTTAAATCAGCTGGAAAGAAGCCAGCTCATGTTCCAGTAAAACAAATGCACGAATTTCTGCATCACAGTTTTATGACCTGTAAAGAGAAGACTAAGCTCATTGTTGGGGAGGAAACAATATGGTGGGGTTGTTGGTTTTTTGGTGTTTTTTTTTGCCTCCAGTCTCTTTGGGAAATGCGATTCACATCTGATTTTATTGAAGAAATGTCTTGATGCATGTAATGCCTGTCCGTGACATAAAAGCCAGGAACAATTAGTAGCATAATGGGTGATTTCAGCACTAAAAAATTGACATCATTGACAAGCATAAGAGACATGTAGAGAAGTACAGGAGAAATGAAAGATTGAGAAACTAAAGTGGTGAAGACTGTTGGCTGGTTGCCAGCAAGAGAATTTGGAATAGTTATAGTATGACTTAGTAATGGCTTAAAGAGCAATGCAGTAAAGGCTTTAGGGACTCCAAATCACTGCCGAGTATGAAAATTGATGCCTCTGGTACCAGAGTGATAGACTAAACTACTCACATTGGCACAGTATTAAAGGTTGGAATTGTTTATTGCTGGTTTTTGCAAGATAACCAAATTTCCTCTGGGATTAGCAATCAAGCAAGCTAATTCCTCGAGAAAAGATTTAATCACACAGTATAATTTAGAATAGGAAAAGAAATAGCCCTTTTTACCTTATTTGAGCATTAGAAGAGATCTGTTTCATGTTTTTTTTCCAAAAGTGTTTAATTGTATTGTATTGGCAGCACATGAAACAATAGAGTTATTGCTCTACTGTTTTCAAACTTCCCAACTTTGCGTGCAACAGTTTAAAAAACATGGGAATCAATTACCCAGGCTAATTTGATGCCATTAACTCTGAAATATGATGCTCATTCCTAAGAGCAGTATTGAAGAGATAAAGAGTAATGTGAATTAAAGATTAAAACCAATTGTAAAAGTGATGTCTTCTTTCCAAGAGCACGGCTCTCCAGTTATTCAGCCAGAGCACTTTGGAGGGAGGGTTTTGGCACAAGAGGGACCAAGAGTTTGAGTAGTTAGGCAAATCTTGGAAGGTGCTTCATGTCTCTTAGAGTAAATCTGACGTTTTAAGCAACTAACAAACGCTTTTCTCCCCACCTGTTCTGCCTTTTTAGATGCAAATACTGTGACAGGTCCTTTAGCATATCTTCCAACCTGCAGAGACATGTCCGTAATATCCACAATAAAGAGAAGCCATTCAAGTGTCACTTGTGTGACAGGTGTTTTGGTCAACAAACCAATCTTGACAGACATCTAAAAAAGCATGAGAATGGCAACATGTCTGGTACGTATGCTTTTTCCCTTTCCATTACCCCCTGTGTGCAGCTCACGTATGCATACAAGGACTTCACATTCCCATTCAGTGCTGACTTTGAGCTCTGAGAGTGTCAATAGGCACAAGTTATTCTGCACTGTCTGCTCTGGTGAGGGGATTTTTGGAAAATATGTAAGTGCCTAAGCTCTGCAGACATTTAAAGTGCTTTGAAAATCCCAGCATTAACTCTACCCTTGTATAACTTAATACCACTGGATGATGACTTTTCTTTTGGCTTTAATTAAGCCAACCAGAACATTGTGAGAGCAGTCTGGGAAAATTGGTTGAATCCCAGCGATTTGGCTGTCGATAGACATCCCAGCTTTAGAGTCTCAGGGGGTACCCTAAAAGATTTTCTTGGCACACTGTAAAATATTCCCACTGTCAGGAGCTGAAAATCCCCGTGATGGAGGTAAATGCCCCAGAGCAAGTTTGTCACCTCACAGCAGCAGCAGAGGCAGCACTCTGTGCTGAGAATCGTTGGTCTGGTTAAGGTATCTGCAGGGTTTCATAAACCTCTGCAGTCTTTTCAGTTTACTTCTTGCTCCAGTGGAAATAACCAGGTGCACGTACTGAAGGCAGAGCTGTGTGTTCCCCGGTTCACAAAGATGTCTTCAGCTGGTCTCAGTGCTAACAAACCTGGGTGATGATGTCAATGCCTGCTTCATACTTGATGGAAACCTACAGAATTCATAACTAAATTTAAGCTCCATTTGCTCAGTTCAGCCATTGGTTATTGACTGATGGTTCTGAAGCTGCAGGGTAATGGGGAAGATAAGTGGAAAGAGTCATTTTGACTGGGAACCACCTTCATCTGTGGATAGTAACTCTTCTCTTCTAAATGCCAGTTTTACAGCTGAAAGCTGGCAGAGCACCATGAACAGCTCTCACTGGGTCTCACCCGTTAAAACATCATTTCAGTTTTGTTTCAATTTGATTTAGAAGATTCAGCATAGCAAATGTAAATGAGGAACAACAGATGTCCTTTATTTCTCCTGTTAAGGTACTGCAACATCTTCACCTCACTCAGAACTGGAAAGCACAGGGGCCATCCTAGATGACAAGGAAGATTCTTACTTCACAGAAATTAGGAATTTTATTGGAAACAGCAACCACAACAATCAGTCCCCCCGAAACTCAGAGGAGAGGTAAGTTGTGACTGTTACAGTTTCCTTTGTTTTACATTCACAGCAGAACAGGTGGACTCTACATCCAATAGCTAAACCTGGAAGGATTACTTAAATGTAATTTAAATGTGTAGTTAGTAAAGAAGGGTAAGCTGAATTCTTAAATGAAATGGAGCATTATATCTAAGAAGTCCTGTTCTGCAACTGACTCAGTGCCTAGAAGGATGCTTGCTAGCAAAAAGTCAGTAAGGCTGTGGGTAGGTGAGAACACCTGGTAAGATTTATTAAGTGTACGTGTTTCGGTTCTTTTAAGCTAGTAGAAGAGAGGCCATTTCGAAGTATTTTCAGCTAATAAAGATTACAGCTAAGCTAAAAAGGCTGTAAAGGGATACACATATCAACTATACATATTTCTGTGAGGCTGGTTTTGCGTTATGAATTATTTATGCTTTTGAGTTGGCATTACATTATCGACATCAAAACTTTCTTACTGTTGGTGACAAACTTCACTGTCTTCTCAATTTCCAGATGTCTTTGTGAAGGAATAAAAATGGTGGACGTAACAAAAATTTCCCTGCAAGTATTGGATTAAGTGATTACATGCATATTCAAATTTCATTCCTTCTTGATTGGCTATGAGGGCTTGGGATTTTTTCTTTGCACATCTGGTCTCAACATGTCCTCCAACAGGAAGTCAGCAAAGTGAAAAGGTTGCTGGGTTATGCAGTGTTTCCTTTCTAAATTTGGCACTTCAGACTGCTTTTGATGGATATTTTATCCCTGGCAAATTGCTGCATTTGAAAGCATAATTAGAGAATCTGTTTTCTTAATCACATGGCTTTTGTTACTTTGGTTGTAGTCCATCTCCCTTTCATTCCTTGCAGCCTCAATCGAGCATAACAAGCAAGTTGGCAGCCTAAGCTATAGTCAGCAATTTCTTATATCTGCCTATTTAAATAAAAGATGATAAAGAGATACTGCTCTGATTAACTTAGAGAGGGGGTGGTTGCTCCAGCTCTCCCGCCTCTGGATAGCCTCAGATGTTTCAAAACTGTGATACAAACAGACCATTCCCTAACTTTTCTTAATGCTTGTCACAATCAGCTGGAATTTGCTCAGAAAATAGATGAAATTACGCTATTGTGTAATAAACTATCTTTCACTTGTATGTCCTCCATAGGGAAGAAAAGTACATCTGTTATGACTGTGAGTCTCACATTAGATATCAAACATGTTCATAGGCCTCATCCTTATCTAGCTAAAACTTTTGCTGTATCCCATATTGTCCCATACAGTCACCAACTGTAGGCAGACAATAACGTTTCCATTTTTGTAACTGTATTCCTGGAAGAGTAGGGACCTTTAGCACAGTTAGAACAATAGCTGAATCAAGGCCTCCATGCTACGTAAAGCAGTAGAGCAGATAGGCTGGTGGCTGCATTCATGTGGCCCCATCGGTTCAGCCCAGTCGTATCCTCAGCGCTTCTGGCCTTGCGTTTGCTGATGCCACAGTTGTGCTGATTACTGTTGGCCCTCTATGAATGCAGTGGATGTGATGTGGCTGCAGATAGATCCAAGCCTGGTGATTGAGGCCGTTTGCAAGTGAGCCCCTACTACAGCGTGGATGTTATACCCTTGAAAAGATCCCATAGGAAGTAGTTGAGGAAAGTTTGGATGCAACAGACAATGCAGTAACCTTGTGTGGAGCAAAGGGTTCTCCACGTGCTCATTTCATAAGACTAAAGACTTCTCATTTCAAACGTGTTATGATCTTTCTTTAATTCTTCAAATCAGTCAGTAATGCAGTTCAGTCTGGAGGCAATATTACGGACAACTCTTTGGGTCTTCAGCTGAATCACTTAGGTTCCCATGTATGTAATCCATACGTTTGGTTAAGTAATATGGCTTCCAAATGGATGGTGGTGTGCAAAATTAATTATGCATGCAATTTGGACTTTAAAACGCTGAACACGGTATTGGATGTCACTGTTGAAAATGCCAGATCTGATTTTCCGAGTTTCTCGACCCCTTATGGCTTCTGCAAAAAGTCAATGAGTTGTTTTGCCTAGACTACATACATGATTGGAAATATGAGATGAAATAATGCGTGAGAAAATTTGGAATGGATATCTGAACATCCTTCCTCTTGAACAGTAGTTTAGGCTCTCAGAATGACAGGAAAATCTCGTGCTGATTGCACTGTAATGCCCCACTGATTTCTAGTGGAATTTTCTACAATAGTGCCTAAATGAAATGCTGTTATTTTACTGGTACATCTTTTTTAGATCTGTCTCTGGCAGCCCGTTGGCATGGAGTTTTCATGAGTGATTTCTGATGATCGCATTTGTTTCTTTTGGTACTTTCAGAATGAATGGCAGCCACTTTAAGGATGAAAAAGCCATGGTAAACAGCCAGAACTCAGATTTGTTGGATGACGAAGAGGCAGAAGATGAAGTAATGATGGACGAAGAAGAAGAAGAAAGTGAAATGGCAGGGAAAACGGTCAAAGAGCCTGTTACAAGTGACATACACGAGGGGACTCCTGAGGAGGATTACGAGGAAACGAGTACTTTGGACATGAACTGCAAAGCTTCCCCTGGCAGGTTGGTTTCTTCCTAGTATTGGTTTGCTCAATACACAAATAAAAACAATAAACCATACAAGAGTGCCAGCACCAAACTGTGTGCTGTGGGAACCTGTCTGAGGTAGCCAACTTTCCCGTTACGATAGCAACGTCCGTCCGTGTTTTGGTCAATACCAGCCCTGTTTTCAGTCTCTTCATGCAAACTATGGCCTCCAAGGGGAAAAATAAGTTTGCCTAGGGAACTATTGTCATGTTCTGGGTGAGACAGGAAATGTTCATGGGAGATATGTTATCTGCTCCTTAAACATACTCTAATATTCCATAACGGTCTCAAGAAAGGCTGTGGAGACACCACAGAAGAGAGACAGCCTCTCCCACTTCTGCTCCTGCTTCCCACTTGCTCCTTTTTAGAATAGAAAACGTGGTTCCTTTTGTTTCAGGACCATGGTGCCACAGCACAAGGTGGTTTATGAACCTGTAAAAGGAGAAAAATCAGAGGTGTAAATGTGAGAGGAAGAGGGATTGCAGGGAGGATCAGCCTTAAACGCTAAGTTGGTGATGGTGGGCAGCACTAAATGCTACCAAGGGTGGTTTGGCCAACGTGACCATGCACTGCAGTTCACCAGCAGGACATCAAGGGGCTCTGGGGGCTCCTTCCAACCTCCTGCTTACCAGGCTGCTCTGCAGCACACATGGTTTTTGGTTAAAAACCTGGGAGTAAACATGAATGCCTGAATAGTGTTGAGCGGCAGCAGTTCACTGGCAGCCTCCAGTTAACTGATGTTAAAAGTCCCTGTAACCTCTGTGGTGTTTTTGTAGGTATAAAGAGGAGGAATATAATAAGACTGGACTTTCAGCTTTGGACCACATAAGGCACTTCACAGATAGCCTCAAAATGAGGAAAATGGAAGAAAATCAATATAGTGAAGCTGAATTGGCAGCTTTCAATACTTCCCAGCTGCCAGAGGACCTAAAACAACCATTGTACAGGAAATCCAAATCCCAGGTAAAAGCTTAACTCAGTTAAAATGTTATTGTCACCCAATACCTAAAGGATTAAGCTGTTAGTCTGTGGCAGGCAAAGTCTTTTCAGATTGGTCAGGCAGGGCTGGGCTTCACCTCCATTAATCTGAGCGTCCCTCAGCTTCCCACTGCACTCCCACTACAGTGAGACAGCACAGGGTGCTCTGGCCTTGGTACCAGGGGATTTTCTTACTTCTGTGTTGCTTTTCTTCCTGTCTGCCACCTGCCGTGATAAGAAATCTGCTCCCTGCTTTCAGGCATCCCACGTGTTTATGTGGATGCTATGCAATTTAACTGTAGGGATGCTACTTGCTCTTCTGGCTTGTCTTTGTGGTGTTTTTTTTTTATAGTCTGTTAATGTTACCTCATCGAGCATGACTTAGAAACAGTGATAATTGAGCTAACATTCAAGGGGCATTTCTTAAAAAGGATCTTTTTAGCCCTTGTGAAAGATTTGTATTTTAAAAACTGCGGAATATAGCTGTGGAGAAGGTCGCAGCAAAGGAGACTGTGGTATTTGGTGAGATACCATAGCAGCCAAAAGATAATGTGATGCTTCAAGCTCTTGAAAGAAGCCTATTTACTGTAACATGAAGGCAAATGAGAGTCTCTGGGACCTTGCCTTTTATCAGCGCTTTTTTCAGAGCTTCATGAAGCCAGGGGAAGGCTCAGATAATTAACAGTATCAGTGGGGCAAAAACATCAGTGGAAATGTTGACAGGTTTCACCTGATGCACTGCAGTTTTTTTGCCATTGAACTTAGCAGACCAGTCGTGGTCTAAAAGACGCCGTAAGCAGATGGAAGCTGAAGGTTTTAAGCTCAGAGAACTTGCAGCATGACCTCTTCTTTTTCCTTCTTTCCCCATCCAGGCGTACGCCATGATGCTCTCTCTCTCTGACAAGGACTCCCTTCATTCTGCATCCCACAATTCTCCCAATATGTGGCACAGCATGGCGAGAGCTGCTGCAGAATCCAGCGCCATCCAATCCATCAGTCACGTATGACATTGTGAAGTCTTACCAAGAATGGGACCAAGTCCAAACCAGTAGCATGGCTCTTTCATATATGACTATTTAAAAGACTGCTGAGCAGAATGCCTTATAAATCTGCAGGGTCACTCATTTAAAGTCCGGTGACCTTAAACTGAATAATTTTAAAAAGAAAGAAACTATTTATTCTCAATATTTTGTTTTGCACAGCAAAGGCAGCTGCTGACTTCTGGAGGATCAATGCGACTTAAAAAAAAAAAAAAAAAAAGAGTTTCAGTGGATTATGTAAACTGGGGCCAGGAAAAAGTGTCTTCCAGTTCACCCGGCTTTGAGAGGCAGGGGCAAAAGGGTTAAGACTGCATTGATACACACACGGGCACTCCTTTAAAGTAGGAACTGAATTGATTTTCTTTTTGTGTAAAATAGTTTGACACAGGATTGGGAACAGTTGCTTTTATGTACAAATCTCTTCATTAAAGCTTTATGCATTTTAGCCCTTCAGAGAAAGAAAGAAAACAGCTACACGAAATGCACACTATCCATCAGAAACGTAGAAAGAAGTAACAGGGAATATTTTGTTCTCTCCGTAATTCTTTTGCCTTCTCAACTGCATTGTTTTAAAAAAAAAGGAAAAATGAGAAAAAAAAAAAAGAACTATGAGAAACAATACATAGGAGGCTTGTGTATATTGTAAACTATGAATGTTCACTACTCCAAGAAGCTGAATCATCCCGATAATTCCGTGGAAGCACCGCGTCCATCGACAGCACCACTAGTTCCAATCATTGTAAGGAGGTTTTAATTTTAGACAATCATGTCGCTCTTCTGTTGTGTCGCTTCCTTTCCCCCTTCCCTCTCATCTCTTCTTTGTGTTGTGTGTACCATGTATTTATTTGTTGGCAAACAAACGTTTGTTGGTTAAGAATAGCACTGTTCCTGTAACAAACAGCACTGCTCCAGTCCCCCACTGCGCTATGATGTAGGCACCCATGTACTTAAAAACACAAGTGAGGTGAACTGATCTGTGTATATGGGAGTGCAAAACAGTGTTTGAAATTTTCTTACATTCCTCTTTTATTTTATTTGTTTTTTTTTCCTTTTAATGAACTAAATAACTAATAGATGCGACTTAGTTTTTTGTTTTGTAATACGGTAAATTGATTCAATTGTATAAACAGTTATAATTTCTTCATGAAAGCATGATTCTTCTGATTAAAAACTGTACCCAATATTTTATGCTGGTTGTCTGCGAGCTTGTGTGATGTTATGTTCATGTTAATCCTATTTGTAAGATGAAGTGTTCCAAATTTATGTTTAAAAAGAAAATAAATAAAGAATGGAAGGCATTCAGTTATTTTTGGGGGTTTTTTTGGCCTTTAGTGAGGGACCAGATTTCTTTTTCCTTTTGTTTATAATCTCATTTTGAAATAATCGGCAAGTTGAGGTACTTTCTTTAAATGCTTTGTACAATGTAACTGTTACGCATTTCAGTACATTACTATGGGAGGATCAACTTTAAAAAAAAAAAAATAAAGGACTACAAAACTGAAGGAATCCTTTTTCTTTTTGCTTGTTCTTGTTTTTTTTATCTGGGTCAGGTCGGAAATGTCATTTTTCATCTGCAGTTTGGGGAGTGAAGAGCGCACGCCTGTGTGTCGCAGCGCTGTGAGTAACCAGTGCTTGGGGTACAGCAGCTTGAGTCATAGAGTCATGGAATCACAGGATGGCCTGGGCTGAAAAGGAGCACAGTGCTCATCCAGTTCCAACCCCCTGCTGTGTGCAGGTCGCCAACCAGCAGCCCAGGCTGCCCAGAGCCACATCCAGCCTGGCCTTGAATGCCTGCAGGGATGGGGCATCAACAGCCTCTTTGGGCAACCTGTTCCAGTGCCTCACCACCCTCTGGCTGAAAAACCTCCTTCTCATATCTAACCTAAACCTCCCGTATTCCAGCTTAAAACCATTCCCCCTTGCCATATAACTGTCCACCCTTGTAAACAGCCATTACCCCTCTTGTTTATATGCTCCCTTCAAGTACTGGAAGGCCACAGTGAGGTCTCCCCAGAGCCTTCTCTAAGCTGAACAAAGTTTCCTCAACCTTTCTTCATAGGAGAGGTGCTGCAGCCCTCTGATATCTTAGTAGTAAGACAATCTCTGCTCTCTGATCATCTTAGCTTGGTCTTGGTCTGGTCTTTTCAATCCCAACCTCAAATCTCAGTATACTTCTGGAGGGCTGAAAGGGAATAGTGAGGATGACCCTCCCCGCCACTCCCCAGTGTTGCCCTTTGCAGCTGCAGCACATGGCTGTCCTTTGTGTTTAAATGTCTTGAGTCTTTTTTTTGCAATAGGACCAAGGGTTGCTGTCACCAGACGGAAGGAAGCTGGCATAAGACTGTTCGCATTGTCCCAGTGCAGTAACCGCATGCAAAAAGCAGCACTGTTCAGTGGGAAAGGAGCATTGAGGGGCTATGATTTGTGGGAAGTTTGGTTAAATTTGGCACCAGCGAAGCCAAAAGTACTTCCAAAACCAGAGGCCTTTAGTTCAGTGCAAAGGCATGGGAAGGTGCTGCTGGCCAGATATCCCCCCAGGCAGCACAACTGCATTTGCAGGTTCTAAGTTGCATTTCGGAATACCAGGGTGTTGTTCTTGCCTTCTGGTCTCACTTACTTGATATCACCAGGCAGAAACATGGGTGTTGTTGTGGCTGAACACAGCAAGGACAGGCGCAGGCTGCCTTGGGTAGCACTGCCAGCTCCCGAGCGCATGTCAGTGGCAAGCTGTGACCTACAGGCCTGTGATTTTCACCTAAACCACACCTGGAAAAGAAGGAAAAATCAATTTAAAAAAAAAGCCAGCTTTCATGGTTTTGTCCTCACTTCATTGGCTTGAGCCAATGGTCAGGTACGTGCAGATAATTGCATAAATAGCCCATTATTTTTCATGCAGTTCAAGTCACTGAGGAACTCGGTTTTAAGTTTCTGCCAAGTAAAGGGAACAAATAGATTAATCAGTCAAGTTTTATCTGCAAACAACTTTCCAGATCGTTTTCTCCTTTAATTTGATGCAGTGACAGTTCTTATCAGCTCTGCCCTCACCTGACCTAGATGAAAGGGGGTTTTTGGAAGGTGGGGATAGGGTGGGACAGCTTCCCCTGGGTTTCATGTTCTGGGTTACTTAGCACCCTCCCATCATATAACTGTCAAGGAAAGGCCTTGTTTAGCTGAGCTGCAGGACTATTTTAACCTATGCATTCCTGAGTCTGCAGACCCTTGGGGAGGTTCCCCATGTAAGGGGAGGGTCTGTGTATGGGATGGGGTAGAGAGAGGGGGAAGACAACATGCCAGGCTTGGAACCATGTTGAGAAGGGCCACTCAGGCCAGTTAAAACATAGGGATTTCAAAGAAAAGGAAGAAAATCCACCACTTTGATCATCTTGATGTATGACTGTTATTCACCTAGGCTTACTTGAGAAGGACTTTTTTTCTCCTTAATTTATTACGGTCCCTGCAGGGCAGTAAAAAGTATTTTGCAATGTACCAAGAAACAAATGAGTTTGTAGTATAGAAAACAGTAGTGTAAGCCTGTCTTGTACTCCTCTAGTGCTGGTGAGATACTTTGAAATGAAAACACAAAGCTTGGAACAAAGGGAGACAGATTTATCTGTAGGGGTCCTTCAACTTCATTCAGGTACCTTACCATGACCTTGACTTTCATTGCCTTTTCTCAGCAGCATTGTTACTTACAGAGAGGAGCAACTGAAATGCAAACCAGGATTTCATCAGCTACCTCACCTCGCACATAACTGAAGAGAACTGGGCAGTTTTTTTGTTTGTAGTAACTTCCCTCAACCTCCCCTTGTAGATAGGAACAAATGCACTTGTCCAGACGAACAGCTTGCTAAGCAAGGACCCCAATTTCTGGCTTTTTGTTGCAGTTATTACTTTTTTTTTTTTTTTTTTTAAGAAAAGAGTTATTTGAGGAGTAGTTTAATAAAAAAAATCCCTTCAGCTTGTTTCAGCATCATCCTACCGTTCAGCCCACTGTAGTAGTTTTCCATAAGTCAACAAATCGTTCCCATGTGATACAGCAGACTCACTGCAGGATGGAGCAGCGTATTAGCGCCTCAATTTCCATCTACAGAATATAACAAAGCACCAGCATGACAAGATGATTAATCAATAGCTCACCCTGGCCCAGACCCTCACCAGCACACAAGTCCGAGCTGCTGCTCCTGTGTCAGCCCCACTGCCTCACTGTGTTAACAGCCGCCGTTTGCAGCATAATGGGAGGGGAAGTTATTATAAAACCATTTGAGAGGCTGCTTTAGCTCAGAGGTTCAGTTTGGCCGGTTGCTGTGTTCACGTCTTGAACTTTAAAGCTTTCTGTCAGTTCCCCCTTTCTCAGGCACACGCAGGATCACTGCGAGCTCCTGGATCCCTTCCCCGCACCGCGCTGCCTTCCAGCCGCATTAAGTCTCATTTGTGGTTTTGCTGGTCAGTCACGGAGCGGCGCAGAAAAGCTGCTTGAGTTTAAAGATGCTTCCAGTAATGATTTAAACAAAACACATCCATCTAGCACCAAACAGAAGATCCTTTCTCCATGTCAAAGACCACGTACCTTGCCAGGATTCCAGTTGTAAGAAAAATGTATCCTGAATCCTGGCCAAAACCATCCTCTTCCCATCCCATTGAAAGTCTGTGTAAGTTTTATGAGTATACCTACTATGTGGCTTCCACTCGTCCTATTAATTCATCTTTTGTTTCGAAACAGAAAATGGTGCCAACATTAGGAAATGCTCAGCTTTACAGTTCAGATTCACTTAACGAAGGCTGGGGAGCGGGATAAGGGGAGAACAAGCAACAAAGCCTAAAAAATATTACTAGGATCCTTTTTTCTTTTCCGTCACCTCTCCCCAGTTTAGATTCATTTGTTATTAGAGGAACACAATTTAGCAAAGCAAAGTTTACTATTATTCCTGAATCGAGATTTTAATCAGAAAAACATTTAAATAAACCCTGAAATGAGGCCCTACTGCCAGGAACATGCAAGACTGGAGCTGATGTCCCATATCTGCGGCAGGATTTTTTGGGGACCAGCTGCCCCTGAGGACTACCATGAGCCACACAGAGCTCTGTGCCACGGCATCCTGCAAGGAGAGGCTCCTTTTAATTTGATGCAGGATGACTGTGTGACAGCTGAGGCTGTCTGCATCTATAAATCCACTCAGGGAAGTTTTTAGAACCTCTTATTGTGAAAGGTGCTGTGGAAATAAGAAGCACTGAGACAATTGGCTGGGCAGGAGCTGTAGCAGTATCTGCCCTGCCTGCTTGGCTCGAGGATCTGCAAGAAGGCACCTTCAGAAAAGATCCTTCTTTTTCTAGCTTTATTTGAATGCTAATTAATTCCAGAAAAGCTAAAGAAATGTGATGAAATGTTGCACTGCTAAGGAGAAGCTTTGCCTGAGAGCCTGGAAGCAGAACTCCCCTCGCAGGAGGGTCTAGTGGGAGAAAGGGGTTAGTGGTCATTTTGATGCTAAATTATCAGTAATTAAGAAGTTGATTTTTCTGGGATTGAAGAAAATTTTAAACAGCTGCTTCTTTCAAGCCCTTATTCCTCGTTTTCATTAGCATGCGCTGAGGCAATCTGGGAAATATATTTCAATGTGCATTATGCTATGTCAAGACCTCAGCATCTGTACCTTGGGGCAGATACGTGTGAGATAGCAAGGGTGGGTTTGCCAGCACGCACATGTGGAAATGTTCAATTTGTAATATGATTATAGCCCCCAAACAAAGCCCGCTTGATACCTGTGGCATATTTGTTTCATGGTAAGTGCAGAAAATTCTCAAAATCGTGTCATGTTTCGCATCCCCAGCCAACTCAAACTGTAGAAGTAGCACTTCAATTCCTGGGGAGTCTCTTTAAACAGGCATATGTCAGGCCCAATTAAGGTCTGGGAAGCCCCATGCTAATTGGGCTGAGGCCCACAGCAGCAGGACGTGGTCACTCAGCATCGTGGCCCTGGCCCAGGCATGTGCTGGGGTTCTGCTTAGCCATGGTGCTCCTCAGGGCTGCTGCATGGGAAGCCGTGCTCCAAAAGCACCTGGAAGAGGTTAAGTGGAGTGAGAACTTTCACTAGCAGTGGATAGATAAAGCAGCTCAGGGTGGTAAGCCACCAGATCGCTGTGTGGTCCTGCATCCAAAGAAGCCTTCAGGTACCTGCGGCAGGATTTGGGGCTGGGCTTTGTGCCCCCACCCTCCATGTCTGTCTCTCATCGCCTGGTGACATCCAGGTGTGAGCACAGCCTTTTGTCACAAGTCAAACATGTGAAACGTGACATGGTTTTGAGAATTTTCTGCACTTCATTTGATTTCCATGTCCCGAGACACGTTGTCTCATCTACTGAGTAGGCTCCCAAAATATAGGGTAACTGCTCTTATTGCAACTCACGTGCTAAGGCACCCAGAAAAAAAAAAGGCAAGAGCTAAGATGTGGAGATGAACTGAAGCATGCTGAGATTTTAAACCCAGAATTTCATCAGGATTTGTGTT